GAGGGAGATAACATTTACCGACCCCATCCAAACCTCTGATTCTGTGATGTTAAAAATGCATTTAAACTCTGGGGACATGAAAAGGAAAAAATATGTATTTCTATTTGATTTGACTTGAAAAATACAAAAAAGTAGGAAATCAACTTCTATCAGAAAAGGGGGAAAAATTGCCCAAGTTCTACTCACAATGCCTCTGAGTATGTGCATTTGTGGCTGTAAATCCAGCTTACACTGTAACTACTCGACTATATTCCTGGGCAAAGAATCCTGCAAAAACCCAGTTTCTCATTAGAATGAACTGCCAGAAAATGTACGATTGGACAGCTAAGAGCATGGCCCTTGGTCAGTATATGTAATTATTGGGCATTCTCATTAGTAGCATCAGGTGTTTACAGTAAAGAAACACCACATGAGACAGAAAACTTCTAATTGTGGTTTTCACATCTCTGAGTCTTCATTTCTTTTCTCAGGAGGACTGATAAACCTTTTGCAAGAGGAAGTAATAAGTAAGATCAAGCAAGCCAAATAGTTCCTTCATGTGTTTTTAGAGAAAAAAAAGTAATATCCCCTTTTACCACACATTTTTCTGATGAAAGGTAAATTTTCTTTCTTTTTTCCTCTTCAACAGCTGCTGTGTACTTCTGGAGCCTGAAGTCCTTTTGCTCTAATAGAAATTTTCACCTTATTTCTCAGCAGCTACTAATAGCAGATCCTAAGCACATGTGATTAGCCTAACACACTTTCTCTCTTCAGTTTTAACTATCCAGATCCACAGGCAAAGTTAGCACCGCAGGCTCAGCTGCAGAACAAAAGCCAGGGACTCTTTATTTGCTGCTGATGGGCTTGGTCACAGAAATCCTCTCTGAAAAGAAGTGACGAAGTCTATTGGCGTCTATTATTTATTTTACACTGCTAAGAATTGGGTTTGACTCTGGATTATTAAGAGAGCCCTTACAGCTCATTCAGAGTCATTTATTCATTTATGAACATATATAGACCATCTGCCATGTGCCAAGCACTGTGCCAAGCGCAGGGATACTAAGAGCAGTGAGACTTGGCTTTAGAACTGTATTTTTAGTAAGGGGATTAGATAAGAGTTAACTTTTATTTTGAGATATAAGGAATATTGAAGCCTACCTGAGGAAGCCCCACAGGGCAAAATGTAATACAACTCCTTGTAGAAGGAGGAATTTGTTTTGCAGATAGAGGGTTGGTTGGGGTCAGGCTGATGCTCTTGGGAAGCTGAGGAAAACATGCAGGAAAGCAGTAACAGCAAATACCAAGTCACAGGAACTCTGCAGTTTTTGGAAAACTGCAGGGAATTTGGATGGAATTTGGATTGAAACAGGTGGCGCTAGGAGTTGGAGACAGAGATCCAGGAGGGGCCACCTAGTGACAGACTTAATGCACAGGCATGGAGAACATCCCTGGGATCTCTGAAGGGTCTGAATCTGTGTGTGCGCGCGTGTGCGTGTTCTCTCTATACCACACACTTTATTTGTAGAGTGGAATACTAGTTGTGCTTCTTTCACAGGACTGTGGTGACTATACAGTGAGATAATGTGTGTCCAGGTCGTAGTCTGGTTGACAATTTTTTGTTGTCCATAAATGACAGTAATCACAGTGACAGCAGTGATAATGGCTGTTCTGGTTGGTTATGCTGATTTTAACATTTCTGCAAAGTCTTTTCCCTCTGGGCTTGTGACCAACAGTGGCAAGTCTGTTATCATGCCATAGGGGCTGGAATGGTTAAGATACTGCTTGAGGAAGTGAGAGAATTCTGGGTTGTCTCCCTGAACTGAGGACCCAAAAACCTTGATCAGGACAGTGAGGATGAAGATTTAGTGGCCAATATGTCTCTAAATCTTCACCCCAAATTAGGCTCTGCTGAACCTGACTTTGCTCCAAGGGTGCTCTCTAGTGGCCCATAAGAAAAGAATGTTTCCTCTCAATAGGGGCAGACTGAATAAACTACACACTATATGCAGATCATGGAATACTATGTAGTCATTAAAAACCAGTGAATTAGAATAATCCAGTTGATTAGGAAGGATTTCCATGAGAAGTTGAAGGAGAAAAGCAGGATGCAGGAAAATGTGAATAATGTGAACTTCCTGTTGTAAAGTAATGACCAAAAAACACTTGTCCCTGTAATCTATAGATGTGTGTGTGTATCATGTATAATATATATGACTAAATAGAATTATGTAAGCATAAATAATATATAAATGATTTAAACTAGGTTGTAAAAAATGGATACCCTTGGGGTAGGACTAAGGGCTGGTGCATGTAGACAGAAAATAAGAGATTGTAAAAGTCAAACAAGCAAACAAACAAAAGCTCCACATTACGCACTTGGATAAAATTATGTCTGAATAAATATATTCATAAATACAAGTTTATTTACAAGTAAAATAATCTAGATGATGGAATTTATGAAAAATTGTCTCCATAAAAGTGAAATTGTATGGAAGATAATTTACTTATCAACTTAGAATTTTTTATTTAGTGGCCTTTTTTTTTTTTTTTTTGCTAAAGCCTAAAATGACCCCTCTTTGAAATTGTAATGCTATTGAAATTCAATATGTATAGTAGGATTTGTTGAGCTATTTATACTATAGTTTTTGATACTTCTAGTGATTTCTTCCTTCCACAAAAATGTGAAAAAGAATCTCAAGTCTAACCCTGATATTGTTTCTTCCATTTGTAGTAGTCTTCACGTGTGATAAAACTGTGCTTGTTATTGTTTGCTTGTCTTGTAATGATTTATTCTTCACTTTCACATGAGAGGCAATAAAACTCTATCTGAAGAGGTTAATTAAAATGTATAATAATAATAATAATATGGTGTAGAGGAAAGATACCAGACTTGGATCTCAGCTCTATCACTCACTATGTAGGTGAACCTTAGCAAGTTATTATACTTCTACTCTTCAGCTTCTTCATTTGCAAAATAGAGATAAAAATAGAACATTAAGTTGTGAGAATTGAATGAGGTAGTTATGGTAAGGTGTTTAGCAATACGTCTGGCACGTGATATTCAATCATCTATCCATCTATCCACTCAAGAAATATTTACTGAGGGCCTTCTATGTGTCCCCTGTAGGATCTGTAGGCTCTGTGCAGGGCACTGGAACACAAGGATCTAGGTGGCCTCAATGAGCCTACAAGGCAGCAGGGAGATAGACAGATGCCAATGGCCACACAATGAGTAGCTGAAAACTGTGATGCATACTGAGAAGAAAAGATATAGGGAGGAATGATATACCTAATTTGGTTGGTAATGGAGTCAGGGAAAGTTTTATCTGAGTAAGCAATATTTAGGCTGCTATATGAAAGGTAAATATACAATAATTAGTTGAAACCATGTATGTATAACATTGTAAGCAAATGGAAGATCTTGTGCAAGGCCTGAGGCAATGGGGAGAACGATCCATTCTAAGAATGGCATTTCAGTAAATGTCTATTAGTAGTTACTTAACCAACCCCGTTCCTGCTTTTCTCATGATACCTATTTTATGGGGCTGTGGAGATGAAATAATATATACTTTATAGTGTTATGTGGATTAAATAAGAAAATACATTTAGAGATATGCAATGATAGATGTATAATACATAATAGATACATAATAATTGCTTTCCTCTCCAATATCTAGGCTTTGCCACTGAAATGTTTAATGTAAATTATTTCATTGGTAGTTATAATTGTAAATTAATGATTTTATACACACACACATTCCATAAAGTATGGTTTTGTCTGTGAAAGGTAAAGTTTTAACTTAACAAAATCTGTGCCTTCTATCTTATGAGCCTTATTTCAAAAGTCTTTGTGCTACTAAATTTCCTTGCCAAGGTCCCTGAAGTTGGCTGGTATGGGGAAAATAAAGTTGACATGACCACTAAAATATTCTTCATTCAGCCTTACACACTTTGGACAATAAGCTCTTCTATTTAGGATATTTAGGAAATTTTAATTCATTAAAATTTAATGTATAACACCTATGTGTTAGGCATTATGTTAGTTGCTGGGTAATAAAAAATTATCAAAAGAGAGTACTTATTCAGAAGAGGAGAGATTTATAGAATAAAAGGAGTATTTTTAGTATTCTCCTTTCTTGGAGGGCAGTAAACCCACGTTGGGTGCCAGCCGTTGGAAACCGTGCTGCCTAAGGAACTCTCCAATCCTCCAACCTTGCCCAAAACTGTGCTAGTGCATTTTCTCTGCAATGTTGCTTTCTGCTCCACTCCAGCAATTTTAGGGATGGAAAAGTAAAATCTTCACCAGGTCAGCCCTAAGAGAGCCAGACCCTCGTGCCACTGTGCTGCTCTGAATACCTAATCGGCTTGCGTGCTGCTGTCCTTTCCTTTGCTCATTTCTCCTCTCATGTCTTGAATGAATGTCCTTTCTTGGTGGAACTTAGGTCACATGTAAAGCTGCAGCTAGCAGGGATTATTAGAAATGAAGTGTTGGCTTTCCACTCTCTAATGTACAGAAAAGCACGATAAAAAGTGTTGGGATTGGAAATTGAGTAAGCACGTTTGTGATACCTTCCACAGTTTGCTTCCTTAGCTGGGTCCACAAACACCTATAATTAAACTTCAAAATAACAATGGCAACAAAAACATTTTCCCAGAAACTAAAATGCAAGAATTCCTTGCTCTCTCCCAAAAAGGGGAGAGTCAAAGCCTCACTAGTTACTCTAAATATCTTGATGCATGTTAATCCTTTAGTTCAGGATTTGCCAAAATACAGCTTCCAGGTTAAATCTGGTCCACCATTTATTTCTTTGTATATAAAGTTTCATTGGAACAAAATCATGCTCATTTGTTTGTATACTGTCTATGACTGATTTTGTCCTCCAATGGCTGAGTAGTTGCTGCAGATACTATAAAACTTCCAAAGCCTAAAATACTTACTATTAGACCCTTTAGAGAAAAAGTATGCTGACCCCTATTCTAGCTAACTGTAATCTTGTATTGAGAATGCATAACTAGAGTGCGGAACGGAGTGGCCAACGGCCTGCAGAACAACATGCCCAAGTTTTATTGTGACTACTGCGATACATACCTCACCCATGACTCTCCATCTGTGAGAAAGACACACTGCAGAGGTAGAAAACACAAAGAAAATGTGAAAGACTACTATCAGAAATGGATGGAAGAACAGGCTCAGAGCCTGATTGACAAAACAACTGCAGCATTTCAGCAAGGAAAGATACCTCCTACTCCGTTCTCTGCTCCCCCTCCTGCAGGGGCAATGATCCCACCTCCCCCCAGTCTTCCGGGTCCTCCTCGCCCTGGGATGATGCCAGCACCCCATATGGGGGGCCCTCCCATGATGCCAATGATGGGTCCTCCTCCTCCTGGGATGATGCCAGTGGGACCTGCTCCTGGAATGAGGCCACCTATGGGAGGGCACATGCCGATGATGCCTGGGCCCCCAATGATGAGACCTCCTGCCCGTCCCATGATGGTGCCCACTCGGCCAGGAATGACTCGACCAGACAGATAAGGAGAGAGGGGAGCTCTTTCTCTCAGTTTTGTATTACTTGTTCTACTTTGCCAGGAGATCCTGGTGCTGTGACTCTGGATATTTTCTAACAGCATGACAAGGAAGACTCGCTCCCTCTTCCTATCAAAGAGAGGATAGTTTTGGAGGGAAGTAGTTGGGGGAAAAAATGTTTTTTCCATTTGTATTGTGAAATGTGAAAATAAAATTGTAAACTTAGTTAAAAAAAAAAAAAAGAGAATGCATAACTAAACTTTAAGTTAATCACCACAAATACGCTATATGTGAAATAATAGGGAAAAGTAATTTTTTTTGAGAAAAGAAAAGTTAATATATTGGAGCAAGGAAGAAAGTATGAGTATATACTATGATACCATTTCTGTAACACATCAGTATTTTCCTTTCCTCATTCCCCATTCTATTTCTTGTAGCCTCACTGAGGGTGTAATACCCATGGCAAGATAACCCATACTTTTGTTTCTATAGGTCTGAGCCTCAGTGGTCCTATCTTTATGTGATTGCCATTGTTAATCATTGACTATTACCACTGAACATAGGAGACCATCAAGAGGATTTATTGGCTTCCAGACATGTGCTTCTCTGCTTATATTGTGGAGCAGAAACCTTCTTTCCTTTTGATTATTAGGCTCTGTAGACTCAACCAGCAAAGTATTCACCCAGCCCTTTCACCAGCACATTTAGGGATTGAGGAGCTCAAACGATCAGGGAGCATTCTTACCTTCTGGTTCAGTGATTTTCAACCTTTTCATCTCATGGCACACATAAACTAATTACTAAAATTCTCTGGCACACTAAAAAGATATATATTTTTGCCAACTCGACAAAAAAGGTGTAATTTTGATTCATTCACACCAGATGGCTATTGTTTTGTTGGCTGTTTTCATTTTTTATTTGACAATCTAAGGGAAAAGTGGTTAGTGTCCCTGACTAAATAATTCTGTATCATGTGTTGTAAAAATTCTTGCAGCACACTGGTTGAAAATTGCTGTTCTAGATCAATGAATCTATTATTTTGTCAGCTAAAGTTTTCTTCCTGCCTTAGGTACTAAGCTCTATAAAAAAGCTGAGCCCCAAAATACAAGAATGGAGAACAAATTTTTTCCAGAAGTTTATTAATGGTGACATTGAGAAATGTTACTGCGCCTTCCACCCCTTTGGTCTTGTTATAAGCTGATTTGTGTCCCCCTCAAAAATGTACGTATTCAAGTCTTAACCCCAAGGACAGCAGAACATGACCACATTTGGAAATAGGATCTCTACAGAGGAAATCAAGTTAAAAGAAAGTCATGAGGTGGACTCTAATCCAATACTGGTGTCCTTATAAGAAGAGGAAATTTGGATCCAGTCACATACAGAAAGAAGGCAAGGTAAGAACTCAGGGAGATGACCATTTACCAGCCAATGAGACATTGGGAACAGATCCTCTCCTCATGGCCCTCATCATGAACCAACCTTGCTGGCACTCTCATCTCAGTCTTCTAGCCTCCAGAACTGTGAGAAAATGAATTTCTGTTTTTTAAGCCACCTAGCCTGTGGTACTTTATGATGGCAGCCCAAGCAAATACACGTAATACTGGATGCACATATTTTGGATATGAGTGAAACAGCACCATATATTAACTTGTACAGGACAAACTTTAGAAGAGAAATCCAAATTCCCAGCTAATGTTATAACTCTTCATTTGGCAATTTCAGTTTCAATAAAGTCATCTGCGATGGAGAACATCATAAGATCAGTGGCTCCTGTGAATGGTAGCCATTACTTTAGTTCTTTTGCTATAAAATTGAGTTAATTATTCAGAAGCCATATTTTGTGATCTGCTTGAATGGAAAGTCCAAGGGTTGAGATGTTGACATAAGCATGGCTGGTAAGGAAGGCAAACCCATATCCAGGATAAATGTCTATTCCAGAGAAGACAAATTACTTTCTCCACTCCATCAGGTGGCTGGCTGATCTCTGAGAAGTGTGGTGCTAGCAGTTGGTTTCTGTAGCTGGAAATCTGGACAATCATCAATGCGATTAACCAGATGAAACTTGGTGCTGTTATATTAGTGTATAACTTCTGTTCCTGCCACTAATTTTTACTTGATAGATAAGTCCATTGAGAAGTGTTGGGATAAGATGCCAGCCTTGTCCACATGATTATTGTTAAACATTATAAGAAGGGGTCTTTGAACGGCTGTTGGTGTATCAATGTATTAATACTTGGTTCATTCTGTTAATCAGTTTAACAACACTTGCTTTTAGCCAAAAGGCCGAGAAGCAATTATACTTGGTTCATTCTGAAAGATCACACATATACTTCTTTCCTGATACCTTATCAGAAATCCAAATCAATGACCATCCAGAGAAACCACTAGCTGCTACCTTCTGTGAATTTTTGTTGATCTAAGTCCCTAGTCATTTATTCTTTAAACACTTTTCTCCTGCTGTTCTCTAGGGCCATCCCTGATTAAAGTAATGTCCACTGTAAATCATGACTCTCGGACTGTGTCTTTGGCCAAATATTTAAAAAAAACAAGCATGTCATTTTCATGATTAAAGTTCTGCAGCACAATTAGAAATAGCTAGCACACCTCCAACATTACTTATGCCTCATGTCCTTCAAAATAGTTTTTCATAGAGTAACTTTGTCCAACCAAAGCCCTCTAATGGCTCTTTTATCTAAGATGATCACAGTGACAATTTGACACTAAATTCCGTAGAAATCCATTAGACAACTAGTGTCCCCACCTGTAATGTTAACCAGCACTGACAAACTTTACACCTAAATGTCCTACCTCCACCCCCAATTCATATGTTGAAGCCTTAACCCCAATGTGGATGGTATTTGGAGGTGGGGTCTTTGGGGCAAAATTAGGTTTAGATGGGGTCATGAGGGTTGAGCTCCTGTAATGGGATTTGTTTTCCTTGTAAGAAGAAGAGAGAACAGTTTTCTCTTCCCCCTGCTCCTCTTTCTCTCTGTCTCTCTCTGTCTTTCTCGTTCAGTCTCTCTCACTCTTTCTGCTGTGTGAGGACATAGTGAAAAGAGGCCATCTGTAAGCCATGATGAGGGCCTTCATCAAGGAACCAAATGGGCTGGCACTTAGATCTCAAACCTTCCAGCTTCTATGACTATGAAAAAATAAACTTCTGTTGTTTTAACACCCAGTCTTTGATATTTTATTATGGTAGCCTGAGTGGACTAATACAATAACCAACATTAAATCCCCATTTCTTAAAGAGTTCATTTTTTTGGCAAGTATTTCTGGTACAGATTCCTATGTGGGCCAGTATTATTAGTTGCAGATCACAGAATTGACTCTAGGTAGTTTAAACAAAAAGTGATTAATTTTAGAGCTTTAAATAGCGTACCACATTTCTAGGAGGACCAGGGAATTAAGTCTGAATCTTACATAATCAGAAACAACATAGTGTAGAGAAACTCTAAACCACCTTGACATTATTTTAATGGAAACTTTTCTGTTACTGTTGCATGCTACATGACATCTACAGTATTAATGGCATGACAGTAGAACCTCAACCACAGTTGCCCCAGGAGATACAAATGCCTTTTCTTTTTGTCAGAAGTTCTGGTCTACCTTTATGGATGCCATCTCCCATTGTTTGGTTATATATTACAAATCTCTAAAGGGTATTTCTACAAGAGAACATGGATAATGTAGATATCAACTTTTTAGTATATGAAGGCAGATACTACAAAGAGTCTAAACCATTGGACCAATCTGTAGTATCTACTGTAATGTCCATGGAGTCTAATGAGAAGTAATTGTGAAGGCAAATGTACAGAAGATTGTCAGTCTGGTCTTTTATCTTCTAGTTTTAATATTTGAAAGACCCCCTATTTTGGAAGTGTAATCCATAGTTATTAATTGAGTCTTTTGGGCAAAAACCCAGTATTCTAACTCCATTCTATGGGAGACACAAGCAAGTACCACCCTTCTATTTTAATGAGCTGCCCATTAGAGCTATGTTATTGGAACTGGCTGCCTCATTTCCTGAATCTAAGGGTAATTCGTTCTTTGTAAGAATGCTTTAGGGAAAACTGGTCATGAGGGAGGCAAACTAGGTTGAAATCCTAGCTCGCTTTCCTTTTTCAAGCATTACTTATCATTTGAGTTCAGCCTGTGTACATTTTTCAGTTCTCCAAGATCTAGCTGAAATAGTTCAGGGCTTTGTTGTTGCTTTCACAACAAGGAGACAGTTGACAGATTACAGCCCACTCTCTCCCTCTGGGGTCCGTCTGGATTTTATTTTTCCAATGGCATGCCAATTCCTTTTTAACCATCCTAACAATAAACTGTGTTTAGCAATGAAAACTCTTTTCTGGTAATCTTTCATCTTCTGTGAAAAAGCAATTTGTCTTCTCAAGTAATAAACTATAGGGCCTCTTATTCTCCCACATGTATTTTCTCACATCCTTCTTAGGTGTGAGTGTTGAAAAGAGATCTACAATGTTTCTACAAAAATACTATTAAAATGACTCCCTGAGAGCTTTGGTGTCTTTAATGGGAGCGATATAGCCTTTGGTTAAGGGCAAGAGCTACAGGGAGACTGGCTGCTTTGATGGCTGAGAGACATTTTTTTTTTTTTTTTTTTTTGTAGAAAAAAAATAAGCCAACTCACTCAGGAAAATTTTTCAGGCATTGAGGAGAAGCTGTAACCATAATTTAATGAGAAATGCATTCTGCCTGAGAAAGAAATGTTGGGGCAAAAAATGGCTAAAGGGATAAAGATGGTCAGACATATTTTGTTAAGAAATAGTAAATGTGTTCTTTAGGAAGGTAAAGCAATGGTCTTCAGGAGGAATTTTAAAACAAGTTTTTGAAGTGGTCATACTTTAATCAAAATTCTAATTATTCCACTTACTACCCACATAAGTTTGGGCAAGTTGTTATCTCTTTGAAACATAAGTTCCCACATCAGTATAAAGGGTATACATATTAATATCTACCTATGGGAATATTGTGAGGACTAAATGCAATAATGCATAAATATATTTTAGTACCTGAACATAGCCAGTAATTATTAATATTACTGGTAATTTTATAAGCATCCTGAATAATGTAAGATTGCATGGGAACATTGAACTAGAGAGCGTCAGGACAAAAGAAATTTATATGTAAATATATAAAATATTAAAAATACATACACTTTTCAGGTAACTGATCTCTTAGTTTTGTTTGTTTATAAATAAAATAATTAATATATAT